GAAAAGATTTGATGTCTTTTCTCCAATAAACATAATATGTTTTTTTATTCTTGTATTAATTATGATGGTTTTAATATGGATTTGAAATGTTTGAGTAGGTAAGCCTAAATCAATTGTAGCTTTAAATATAGAAGATAAAGTACCACTAGAGATCTAGATTGCCCACCGAAATATAATATACTGTGATTAAGGTTTCTCACAACCCTATTTGCCTATGGTAAGTATTTTTAAAATAACTAGGTATTTCATTAAGAAAAATAAGGTTACATCAAAAATCATCAAACTATTCAGACTATCTTCTACAGGTATCAGGGATTTCTGTAGCCCCTTTTAAAGAAGTAATGACTAAAGGCCATCACATTTTAATTATTGGCATTCATGTGCTATACATTGAGGATAATATCATACATAAAAATACAAAGATGTGCTTTATCATGTCATGGATCATTTCTTTAATGCAGTAGTATCCATCACCAACAAATGAGTGTTTAAAGCAAATAAGAATGTCAGTGGAATCTCCAGATAAATACAAAAAATGGTGACTATGTGGAAGTATGCCTTTTAAATTAATGTATAAATGGAAGTTCTGTGCATTGGTATATGACTGGACTGTTTCAATTATAATTTTGATACCATTGTTCTAATATGGTTGTTTTTTGTGTGATGGTTTAACATACTATGAAATCTCTGCAGTTACTGTCCAGATTCATTTTTTAGAACCTTTTTATGATTTCTGAAAATGTTAAATCAACCGAAACACTAATCCCGGAAGGTGACACAAGATCTTAAAAAATATGACATTGTTTAACTTTATGACAAATACCAAACATCAGTTTTCAAAGTAAACTATGTCCCTTTGTACAGGATCATGAACTACAAAGTATTCATCAAGTTTGAATTCACAGCAAAACTCATAGAGTAGAAAGCAGTTTAAAAATGTAGTAAGTCATTGTAACTCACATTAAGTTATTCTAATATCAAAAACAATTTATTTTCAAAATAGCAATAAACTACAACTGGACCTTCTCATAATATTCTTTTAGCAACATGAGTTTGAATATAGGTTAAATCATATCTCAACACTTTATTAAAATACTTTCTAGAGTACACATTCACGATCCTTCAAGTATCTATTTAGCTTTGTTTAAATTACTAGATAACATTTAATCAGTTATTCCTTAAATGAGATTAAATGTCAATCATCAAATCTGACAATGTTACTTTTACCTAAATAGACCAAAGAAATGAAACTAAAGTGTTTTGATTTGCTTTCATGTTTAATGAAGTCAGCTTTTAATTTGGCATTTTACTAGTACATTAAATTTTGGAGAATTTAGTAAGGAAAATCTGAGTGATCATTTTAAAGATTTTCTTTTTGAAAATTACTGCTCTTGCAACTATTAAAGTTTTATCAAAAATGAAACCAAAGTCATAATGCTTACCATGCAAAAATAAAAATCTGAAGCAATATAATGATTTTCCCATTTGGCTTTGTGTGATCTTCATTTTTGGAGTAATCTCAAAATAATCTCCCTATAATTAACCTCCAAAGTTAAAAGGCATGAAGGAAGACATTGTGTTGTCTTAAACTTGATGTGGTGTTAAGATTGACTTCTCTAACAGAACAACAAATGATCAAGAGTCTTAGTACTACTATTATCTAGCAGTTAAGAAGGATATTATTTGCCCACTTTCTGAGAAGACAACGTTGATTATTTCAATAAGTGACTGAAAATAAATAGTTAATAAAAGATATTGGTAGAGCTCTTGGTATCACTTACACCACTATTCCTTGTGTGCTGGGATAGTGCAGGATTCATTCTAATCTAAAATACACTAAATGAAAACTAGTTTACTTCTCATATTTGAAAGAGAGAAGATGTTTATTACATGGGAAAACAAAATTGTCAATGAAACCATTATAAATAGGCCTTTCATTCAACAATAAATTATCAAATTTATCAATCTAGAGATGAAGTTTTTCAAATATAAACAAATGTTCCTAACAACTAAACATTAACTTTTTCCTTGTGCTTTACTTTTCTACTTCTTTTTAATCCAGAAAGGCTAAGAAGCCATGAGACAAGAAGGACAACCGTCTGTAGCCATGGCTCCACTGGTGTATCAGTCATCCTTTTTGGGCATCTCCATACGGTCTTCCCCTTCATCCTTCATCTACCTTATTTTCTCATTCATGGATTTCCTTACTATTTATATCCCTTTCCTCCCTTTTCATAAAATAGAAAAGTCATAGAAATAATGTTGACATAAACATTAATTTCACGATTTTATTTAACAATTCAGATTTTTTGAGTGATTTAAGGTATATAATGGTATGTGAAATATTAAAGCATCTATGAAAAGCATTGAAGTATTTTGTAGTTTTAACATGATTATGAAAGCATTTTGCATCAGTTCAGTTGGGTAAATGTATTTAATTTATTAATTTAACTTCCTCAGAAATTGTGACTCTTCCTAAAATTTGCAATATAGATATGCTTTTTCATTTTCCTCATCTTCATTTAGAGAATTTATTGACAGAATACATTTTATAAATTTTTACAATGTATGCTCCAATACTGGTAACACAATTATAGAAAATAAAATTAATAAAGAAAATGCTCATAAAAATGCAATTGGCACATGCATACCATAAGCATATTTCCTCCCACATTTCATACTTCCCTGTCACCTTTATAACACACTCACAAGCAAATCAAAAAAGTATTACAGATTCTGTAATAAGAGTCAATACAACTTCATCAGAATGAAATAACCCAAAATACATCAGATAACTAGAAATATATAAGACCAAAGCTGCCTCTGGATGCTCATTTTCCCTTGAGTGAATAACACTAACAAAAATTAAAGTTTCTAGTTACAGAAAAAGCATCTAAATCTCATCAAAATTCTGCAGATCTGTTTTTAAAATGAAAGTCATAGACTTTACTCCAGAATATGTAAATTAATTATTTAAAAATGAACAATTTCCTGAGCATGATAACCAGTCTACTATAAGAATGGTCATTGGTAAGAGAAGGGAGGGAGGAGAGAACGGAGTGAGTGAGCAACAAGAGAACAAGACAGAGAGGCTGAGACACTGAGGGACAGAGGGAGAATAGGGTAATAAGAGGATAGGTTTTCACGTCTGAAATAATTTAAACGTGAAGGTTTTTGAATGGTGATAAATGAAGTAGATGATTCTTATCTAAAGTCCTTTTTAAACCTTGAGTTTGTGTGCTAGTGAAATACTTTGTGGTCAAAATAAAAATTTCTTTCTACTCTTGCAATCCATAATTGCTTGTTTTATTGGGTGAGCCATTATCCTTTGTGTTTTAAGGCCATCTATTTTCCGTAAGAAAAGCTGATCTTAATAATCCAGGTTCTAACCCTTAAATGTGAATCAGGTAACTTTTCACATGAACGGGTTTGATTGCTTAAACATGGGAGACTGCTCAAAGAGAAAGAAAAGAAAAAGCCGCCTTTGTAAGTTCTGTAGCATTATCTTATTGCAGTAAGCAACAGTTTGTCTACAAGCTGCCAGTAATCTTTCAACCACACAAAGCAATTTGGATAGACAACAGTTGTGGAAACTGAGTTACAGTTTGAGCTCACAGACCCAGAGAAACTACAATTTAAAGTTGCTTTATGACAGGCTACTTAAGCAGAAGTTTTTGTTTAGCTGGTTTTAATTTTTGGCAAAATGATAAATAGTGCTATACAGTGTTACAAGATCTTTTGCTACTTTTAGTCGGCTGATGTTGATTTCTTGGTTTGCAGACCAATCTCATGAACCAAATATGGTCTTACCCAAAACATTGCAAATCAGAGATGAAATAAATACTCAGAAGGCTCACAGGTGTGTAAAAAGTCAAATAATCTTAAATATAGTTTCTCTTGCTTTGTTTTAACTCAAAGGACATTGAACACAATTTGCTTCTCATATGCAAATGAACATCGGTTCTCCAAGGTACTTCTAACCTGGGATGTGAAGGAGATAGACTTACAAGCAGGGAAGCTGACTATCCTCATTTAAGGAATTCTCTTTTGGGGGGAGAGGGATCCTTCCAACCGTTTGCCTGAGACTAAGAACTGAGAGCATCCTCTCTGAAAAACCTCCAAACTTCTACAATAACCCCCAACGCAGTACTGGCCCCAGTGTTCCATGCCCCACATTACCCTCTGCAAATAACCCAGAAGGGACGATTTCAGGAAAGTGACATCTGTCATTGTCTTTTTTTTTTTTTCTTTGTAAAAACAGGCTCCATTGACTTCTCTGTATCATGTACTGGGGAGATTAGCGCAGCAGGCATGAGCACACATTTTCACAGACATTTCTCTCTCTCTTTCTCTCTCTCTCTCTCTCTCTCTCTCTCTCTCTCACACACACACACACACACACACACACACACATAACCTGCACCAGCACATACCTCACATACTCTCACAACACACACTCAGGATGGGGATCAAATCACCCTCTGCAATGGATATTAGACTTCGGAACTCCTGCATGCCCCAAGTGCTGTGTTTAGGGTTGCCAGCTTAGGAGCCCCGCTTACAGGCTCAGCCAGCCCTCCCTCCCCCACCCTGGAGAAAGCCCTTGGTGTCCATGTTGAAGAGAAAACCTATCCGACCCGTGCGGCCACAAAAGAGCAGGAAAGAAAATTAAATAGAGAAATTATAACAAATAACCACAAGCAGCCGGGGGGGAAAGCCATGCAAGATGTGCGCGAGAGACAGGAAAGTTGCAGTAGAAGACTGCCAACTGAAGTTTGTGCGGGACTTTTCAGACCTAAGCCCTACCACCGAGCGCGGAGTAGAAAGGACCGACAATTAATGAGTCCTTCTAGTCCTCTTTCCCCTGTAACTACAATATGAAGAGCAGAGGCAGGATAGTTACGACTCACGCATTGCAAAGTTGGACATGGGTGATGGGACATGCAGAAGAAAGCATTAAGGGGAAGAGAAGCAAGCGAGCCAAGAGACGAGTGCCTCACCTGGCATTGGTGCAATCGGTGAACAAAGTTTCGAAGTCTTTCCTGGTGATGAGCTTGCAGCGGTTCACGCCTGGCTGGATAGCCCCCAGCCCGCGCAGGATCCGGACCTGCTCCACAGTACACACCACGGGGGATATGTCCAGTCTCTTCAGCTTAGTGTATACCGTGTGTAACCCTCCCACCAGGTGCTTGAGGAAAAGATCAAAGACTTGCGGTAAGCAGATCAGTTCTTGGCCGTCCATTAGGAAAGAAGCCACCTTCACCCCGTGCATGTCGACCATCCGGCATTCGTTGGTGTTGGTGTTGCCGCTGACGCCGCCGCCACCGCCACTACCGACCATGCCACCCCCTGCGCTGCCGCTGTGGTTATTGGTCATGAAACTGTTGATCATACTAGGGGTGAGTCGAGGGGGCTCTCCCGAAGTCGAGTACAGGGGTTCAGCCCGAAACAATCCCCCTGGGACGCCGGCGCCGCTGGAAGTTGCAGAGATTACCGGAGGTGCAGAGACAGCCATGGTCACTCCGTCTCAACCTTGGGTCCTCCGACCCTCGTTTTCTCGTGCCGACTCCTCTAGGTCCGCTCACACTCACTCCTCTCACTCTGGCTCGCTCTCTGGCGCGCTCTCGCTAGCTCCCAACTGTTCTCAAGTCTCCCGCAGCCCGACTCACACTCGAGCTCACCCACCACCCAGCAAACAGTGAACAGCCCTGACCCACAGCGGCCCGAGACCCCACCCTCACCACACCCCCTCCCGAGACTGGCAGCGCCCCCAGCCAATGGTTCCCACCCCTTCGGCACCCGAGCGCGCCGAATGGCTGCCGCCGGCGAGGAGGTGGAGACTGCCCGGCCGGCCTCCGACTACCTGAGGCCTTTCAGCGCTTGCCAGTGAATGGAGATGAAATTCGAGAAGGGGGCGGTGTGGTGCCTCAGCTTCTGGCCTCAGAGTCTGACCGGAGAACGTCCACTTGTCATGCAGAACTCTCAAAGTGGCCTAAGCTAGATACTCATCCCCCTTGGCGCCCCACGGGTGTTGGGTTGGAAACACAAAGCAAGCCTCCGGAACGTGCCTCCCGGACCCCTCCCGCCACTGCGCAATCAGGTTCAGTGGAGAAAAGTGAAGTGGCAGCGCCCGCTCCTCTCGCACGGTGCTCCAAAACTCCGCGAATACTGAGAGGTGGCTTCGACCAGCTTCGGGGGGAGGGGGGAGAAAGACTCCAGCGAGCCCAGAAGTAAACAGCTCAGCCCTTCTCCAGTCCACCTAGCGCACTTGATGGAAGTTCTCTGATACCCAGCGATCAGAGGCACCAGCGCCCGAAATCGCACTCACAGCAAAGGAGCGGTTGCTAACCGGCTCCTACGCGCTGACAATCAAGAAGCGCGGGGAACTGTGAGCACTTAGACAAACAGACTTGGTTGGTGGCTGGCAGATGGATGCCTCATTTTACAGCACTTCCGCCACTGTCCTGGAACAGATTCGCCTTTCCGTGTTCCCATCCCTTAATCTCAGGATCGCCCGACCCTACCCCTCCACCCCTACTCCCGGACAGATTGATGAGCAACGTTCATTTATTATTCAAAACGGTCATTACAGAAAATAAGGGAAGCGGCAAGGGATGAATGTTACCATTTTCTTCCCTTGCCTGTGGTCTTGGAAGAGCTTCTTCCCCTACTTGTCGAATGCCCTAAACTTATTGTGAGAACTTAAATGAACAAAATATCCGAGGATGGATTCCGGAAGTAAAATGTAGTCTTTTGCACACTGCGTAGATCACCTGGCAAAGTTGTTCTACGTACCATTCCTGAAAGTAATGGTTTTGATTCTTTGAAACCAATGTATTTCCTTTCCTGTCCTCTTCCCTAGACGCTGGTTGCAGTGATATAACTAAGGCATTTTCCCCGATAGAATGTAAATGTTAGAGACTGACTTCTTCAGTTCTGGTTGTGCCTCTCAGCATGAAAGAGGAGTTACCAGCCTCTTTTTGTTCCCTTGATACAACATAAATATCCCGAGTTAAGTATTTCCTTTCGTCATTTCCTCAACCAAAAATTAAGAACTTCACTTTGAATCTCTTCATACTGTTGAAACTGTTTCAAATGGACTGCAGTCAAAATGCAAAGCAGCCGATGATACTTGCTTTTGCCATGCAGTGACTTGTGACTCTAACGTAATAGATTACAATGTATGCAGACACACAGTATCTGTAAAAGGCATTCAATTTTTTTTTTGCTATGTTGATACTTTGTAGGAAGAAACAGGAGACAAAAAAAAAGACAATTTGAGAACAGATACCAGCAGCAGAATTCAAAAAGTTCTTGGAAAATAGGTATTATTTAAAAATCTATCTAGGGGCTGGCATGATGGCTTACTGGCTAAATCCTCACCTTGCACTCATCAGGATTCCATATAGACACCAATTCACGTCCCAGCTGCTCCACTTCCCATCCAGCTTTCTGCTTGTGGCCTGGGAAAGCAGTAGATGGCAGCCCAAAGCCTTGAAACCCTGCACCCACATGGGAGACCTGGAAGAAGCTCCTGGCTCCTGGCTCCTCTTGGCTTTGGATCAGCTCAGCTATGGCCATTCACGTAGAGCGGGAACCAGCAGATTGAAGATCTTTGTCTTTTTATATCCTGTTCTCTGATAAACCTACTTTTCCAATAAAGATAAATATTGAAAACTAAAACACAAAAATCTATCCATAGATTTCAATTTTGCACTGAAATAAATGATTTCCATAATCTTTTCAAAGTGCCCTCATATTTACTTGTTGTTGTTTTTAAAGCAACATCTCAGGTTGTGCCAATTGATATTTTGACAGAAATGGCTACCAAACTCTGTATTGAGAGAACTTGCTTCAAATAATTTGTAATTGGATTGTCAAGGTGGGCAAGTTTATCTGTAAAGAAAACTTATTTGAAATGCATAAAAATCCGAAGCCCAATCTTTTCCCTCTGTATAGATGCACTCACATTACCAAAACTTTCTTATTTGCTGAGTGAAGAGCCGAGAACACCCAGAGACAACACCTGGTATTGTAGACCTAAATGATTAAATACTTAATCATCTATAGATGTGGTTTTCAAATTAAGACATTACATATATGTGTTGAAGTTTCAAAATTTAAGAAATTCTGAAGTATTAAACGACAGAACATTCATTCAAGCTGTAAGCATTACTTCCGATACTGAAAAGCAACCTACTTTGATAACTTTGGAAAAGCATGAATTCAATGATCTTTCAGGTTTATAGTAACATTGTAATTATTAAGAGATTAAAGTACAAATTCTGGTAGAAATTATAGGGTTTCAAATTGATCACCAATCACGGAAGCGTTAAAGGGCCTTGGAAGCTCTCAATGCATGAAAGATTCTTAGACGTATTACCTGAATTTCTTCCGATTTCAATCATCTAGCAAATAAACACTAAATGTTCCTTGCAAGTAATACTTGTCATTTCAATCATTTAGATTGAAGAGGCCAGGTTTTGGCTCTGGGTTTTCTTTTTTGACTACTCTATGTCCACTATTACTATTATCTATGCTTTGAGACCGAGACGATCGAATTTCACACAGTTTGTTTTCATTGCTTTCGGACTTTAATGTCTTCCATAACCAAAACGTTTCTAACTAAGGCTGAATTTCTACAAGGATAAAGGAAGATTTACACGTCAACATCTTGTAAGTTGGGAATTGTGCAGAGCACTATAAAATGATAAAGCCGAAAGTGAACGCAGTCCCCTTGGGCAATGACTCTCCATGGAGAGAAACACTGCATTAAAATGAAGAAAACACAAGGCTGTGGATTAATACCAGACAGGAGTCAAACATAGCGCAAACAGAGTAAAACAAGTACAAGTAGATATTACATCTTATCAGAACAAAAAGTTCTAGATGCTACTTACTCCAGGGCAATATTCTCAGCCAGAGCTGTAGCTTCTTGAATACTGCAACACCACAAAATTGCTGGGCTTAGTTTTAGAGGAAGCATGCTCATCTGTGATGTTACACAAGTATTCCACTTTGTTTGACATTGTTAGTGAAGTACAGGTGCCATTTTAACTAAAGATTTCAAACACATATACATATGTATGTATATATAACATATTATATATATATATATATACACACACACACACACAATATATGGATATTTCGCAGTCCTCAGTGAGTACAGAGCTATATGAAAGGGCCTGTTTTCAGAATGAGCACTCAAGCAAATCCTACGGTAATAAATGGAATCATTTAAAACCCTCAGCCCACTGATGTTACAACCTCTAATATGGCCTCTAAGCAGAAGCTCCCTGGAGCACTCCAAGGTTCATTTTTAGGCAAACAATAAAAGGAAATTGATTGGGCAAGGCAATAAATATGAAATGAAAGTATTCATATGACTGGGAATTTAACTGGCTAAAGCCTGTAAGTATATCCCATTCTGTGTTTTCCTGGGAAACCAACTGGCCTATAAACGTTCTTCTATCACTTTTTTTTCTTAGTTCAATGCTAAGTCGAAGATGCCTTCCAAGGAAGGCAAAGGGAGAGAAGAAGGACAACTGAAGCAAACGTAAGTTGGGCAAAACACAGAGAGTAATAGTTAATATCAGATGTTTGAAAATGAACATTTTCTAAATGAAGCAGCAAAAATAAATTCACCCAGCACTCCAATAAAATATGAGCACCCTCATTGCACTGTCCCAGGGGAGAAGTAAAACATCTTGAAATTCCATCTATGTCTTTCAATGTGATATTCCTTTTTAAATCATGTCTTTTACACTGTTCAAAGGCAAGCATTCTAACTCCAGCTGAACTCCTACTGCTACTTGCCATCCTTTTATTCATTTCCTGCAGCAATACCTCCAACACTTTTCTCTGCTTTAAAAAGCACCCTCCGGGCCCGGCGCGGTGGCGCAAGTGGTTAAGCTCCTCACCTTGCACGCCCGGGAGGACACCGGTTCTAATCCCAGCAGCCCCACTTCCCATCCACCGCCCTGTCTGTGGCCTGGAAAAGCAGTCGAGGACGGCCCAAAGCTTTGGGACCCTGCACCTGCGTGGGAGACCCGGAAGAGGCTCCTGGCTTCGGATTGGCCATTGTGCTCACTTGGGGAGTGAATCATCGGACGGAAGATCTTCCTCTCTGTCTCTCCTCTCTGTGTATCCGCCTTTCCAATAAAAATAAAATAAATCTTTAAAAAAAGAAAAAAGCACCCTCCCTCTTAAGCTCATCAGCCACCACCTTCCACTTCAGGAGTTTCCAATCTCTATTCTTTACTCCTAAAAACTTAGTGAAAATGTTAAATCTTCTACTTCTCTTAGCCCTCGGGAAATAAAAAGCCTTCTTCACTGCTTTCATTGATGTTTTTGATACCTTTCACCTCCTTTGAATGACAAATCTATACATTTATTGTATGTTCTCTCTGATATAAAGGAGTCTTCATAAAAATACAAGATCAATAGATAACATGGGTAAACATACATGTACAAATAGTCATCTAGAGGAACTGCATAATAGAAACTATCGATTTAGATAGGAAGATACAATTCAGCATGCATCTGTACTACCAAACGAAAGATTGCCTCTCGATGAAACTGTTAAATATATCTTGACAATAGGATGCTGGACTCTGCCATTGTCCATACCTACAACATCAGAATACACTTAAATAGCAGAATGATGGACTTAGGACTGTTT